TAGGAGCTCTGATCGGGCGATGCAGGAGAGCACCCGGCCCAGAGACCCGGGTCCTTCTTATGAGAGGTTCCTCTTCAGGGTCGACTCCATTGTCAGGATGAGGCCTTTTGCCTCGTTCTTTGTCCCGAGCGCCCCCAACGGCAACAGGGGCTGTAGTGATTTGATGAGACACGCTTGGGTTGGTAGCAGGGGTGCTAACAACAGAGTCAATAGCCACCGTGCTCGGGATGGTGTCAGAGATGGTGGCTGAGGAAGAGGCTGATGCAGGAGAGGAGGTTGCCCCAGCAGCAGAAGTGGCTGGGGGAGTATTTTTCTTCCTGCCAAAAGAGGGGATCTGAAGCCTGCTCATGTTATAGCCGAGGGATGAGAGCGCTAGGAGGTTGTCTGAAATGAGGAGGTCTGAGCAGGAAGGAATATCGTTCAGAACGTATTTCTTCAAGTAATTACTCCTATCCCTGCAAACACTGTAGCTCAAGTCATCACAAGGTATTCCTAAGGAGCGGCATAAGAAAGTAAAAAAGCGAGGAACGCATGTTTCGCAGGGGCAATCATTTTTGTGAGATTTGAATTTCTTATATGAGGAAACAGAACAGACGCCAAAGGCGCTCGGGATTGGATAATCCTCTGCAGCCGGCGAAGACCAAGCCCCACTAATACCCACAATGTTATCCCTCCAACCCTTTTCAGATTTGATTGTGTCCGTGCATATGGACATCTTCTCGATCGGGTAGAGGTAGTAGAAGGGCTCGTTAATTCGGATCTTACTGACCTTATAACACAGAAGAAGATCTATGAGGTCAAGTTCCAGACTTCTGTCACGAATCAACAGTAGCATAACGGATATGATTCTAAAAATTGGGGTTTACCTGCAGGGGGGATATCCCTACCTATTGAAGACATAATTAAAGAAGGGATGCAGAGGGAACCTAACGACATTCAATTAAAGGTTTGAAAATAAAACTTCGCCGGGGAGGAGGCCGGCACCGGTCATAATATTAACGTCCTTAGGGCACACCCTAACTTGGATGTTGTCAGGAAGTCTAAGTCTCATACGAAGAACATCTAGATCTACAACCATGGTGGAAGTGATTGAAGGATCTAAAAGGGTAAAAAGAAACCTGCCGAAAGTAAAAAGGAACAAAACTAACCTCTGAGGTAGAAAGCAACAAAGAGCACTGCAAGATCGCTGGAAGAATGACTCTTGAAGGATTTCACCAGAAAAAGCTTAGCACTGTTCTAAAAAGAGAGAGATTTGACTGATGATGGAGACGGTAAAAAGGCATGAAGTGGTATTCTAGAGCCTTATAAAGGCGAGGGGGACCCGAGGGCCGAAGCGTCAGGAAGGCGAGAAATTCATCGAGCCCCGGAACATTGATTCTGGATCTGACCGTCCGTTCCCCCACGTGGGTTTCTCGAGCCGTCAATGTCATGATGAGACGCCATCAATAATTACCCCCTTATTAAATAAGGGGTAATTATGGGGGCAGTTGAGGAGGCCCAGGATGACATGGGCCGGATATGACTTGCAAACACAACATCCGGTCCGTATAGCTGGGTCAGGCCTATAAAAAGACACTGCCATATGGGCCGAACGCGAATAAGCCCATCAAAGATGACCAGGACTTATGGAGGAACAGGCCCAGATCCAGCAATCCGTCAACATTTGTAAATATCTATAAATAGGAGAAGTAATGGAAAGAAGAGGGGAGATATTTTTTGGTTGAAATGTAAGAATTCTAGAGAGAGAAAGAGAGTATGAATTTCTTGCATCTTCAGTTTTCTATCTCTAATTGAATGTATCATCATGTTCTTCATGCATAAAACTTGTCTCTATACATGGATCAAGATCTTTATTTGAAAAACCCTCATAAAGTTTAAAAAACTTCCGTTTCCCCAACACAATGCACCCTACCGTTCTTTGTATCATAGAAATGACTGATTTGAAGTAACAAGTTGGATGAATGAGTATCTTTGGCATGAAAATAAATAAATAAATAAATAAAATATTCAATAAAGTGTGTTGCATTCTGTTAGCTTGTCAACTAAGTAACCAGACCTCTTACCTCACTAAGCAGTGAGTGTTCGCGTCAAAAGGAAAATAAGTGGAGATTGTATCATGTGTTGATGGCTTATTTGAGTTCGTAGCCTTGCTAACCCGAATTATTACGTCCTTTGGAGTGTTTCTACACTTAGTGCCCTAAGACCATTTGGTTTTGAAGTCGTTGGCTTAACGCTTGTTACATGGGTTAATTAGAAAGCTTAAAGCACTTGGATCTTGTACGGTTATCCAAAAAAATATATAAAAAAATTGAAAGAAAAATCGAATAAATTCATACCTAGGACATCTTATTTTAAAATATGAGTTAATGATTTGAAAAGTTATGATATGTGCAAGTGAAAGGGAAGGAAATGCATTTTATAAAAAAAAAAAATCGGTTCACTGTCGAAGGAAGTAAGAGATGAATTATATTATAGATGAGATATTTAAGCTATGTATGTGGATTATGATATCAATGCATGAACGCTGAAAGTTTAAAATTATTTAGAGATGTCATTACTTCACATATTTGATGTAATCTTTACAATAATTTTCTCTCCAATGTTTCCTATTTTCCAAAATTAAGAATGAGCTTCGTGCATCTTTATGCATCAGTTTTGTCAAAGTTTGTGGGTAGCATTTCTGTTAAACCCTTACGAGATTTCATTCGTCCTCTAGGGGTGCCTAGAGATTTAAAAGGGTTATTGCATATGCTAAATGCAATCGTCATTCCCACGAAAGAGGAGTTGTTTCATTTTTGTTTTACTTGGGACTAGCAAAATATAAGTTTGGGGGTGTGATAAGCGCCGAATATTTCATATTCAAGTGCCCTTAACTGTATATTTTAGTCTATTTTTATATTAATAATGTGTACTTTATAAGCATTTTTGTATTTTGACTATTTTCAGGATTTTTCCCCAAAAGTGAATAAAAGCAAAGAGTTACGGGGTCTTGAGGGACATGGATCATCGTGGGACTTGACATCAATCAAAATGGTCTAAAGATCATGTACAAGCTCAGCTTGAGTAAAAAAGTTGAATTAAGAAGACAAGCAAAGAAGATGCAGTAAGGCCACTATGTCTGGACATCGGTTCCAAGCACAAAATGGACGTTCAGACAGTTAGCAGAAAAGTGGGGCAAACAATTGCAAGAGAAATAAATAAAATTCCAATAGCCAAAGGATTTTACGTCTAGACGTTGGTACTGGCGTCTGGATGCCGCATGCCACACTCAGCCCATTGACTGCACCTTGTGTGCGTGAGGAGGACACCATGACAAGCTATATCCGGCCGTCCACCTGCGATAAAAAATGAGCTGTCAGATTTTTTTAGTTTTAAATATTTTCCTCCATCACTTGAAATTCACAAGATATATGGGATTTGGAACTATATTTTGAGGATATATAGAGTATACCTAGAATTCTAAAGTGGATATTCATTTTATGATAAGGTTTTGGAGATTGAAAGATTCTAGGGAGAGAAATATTGCAAGGAAAAAAAAGGGCAGAGACAGAGCTCGAAAATGGGTCTTCTTCAGCAACATCTGAGGATACAAGCTTGACCATGAGAGGCTAAATTTCTTCCTAGGAGGGTGATGTAGCCCAATATGAGTAATTATGGCTTAAATTGTAGTTAATTTTTGGGGGATTTATGATTTTCAGCATTGCAAGTTGTATAATTTTGTAGTTTACAATTGTAAGACTTTTGGATTACTTTTGTAAATGGGCTTCATCTATGCAATCATTCTTGATGAATTGTATATCTTGTCTTAGATAATACTTCATTTTGATTTGAAATTTTAGCATGCTTCTAGTGACAATAAGTATGTAAATTATACAATGATTTTCATGATCGATATGCAATTTTAGGGCTTTGATATGCCATGCACCGTGCTACACATTAGATTAGCATAGTTAGGTAGACGGTCTATGCCTAACAAAGATGGGTTATACTTAGTTCTAGATTGTATATGCATTTCATCTTCTTGAAGGATTCGTTGTGTGTTTTTATCGCATGAATTTTAGTTGTGCAGAAATCTGATTTTCCCCTATATTAAAGCAATATGCCATGGTTATAAGGGTTGTGATGAAGTCATTCTCGTAGCCTCAACTCATACTATCTCTTTACATTCAGTTTAAATTATGTTTTTAAGCATTAATTTCAGTTTATGTAAAGTGAGAAACAAACCATTAAACCAAGCAATTTTCTATCAACTCGAAAGTGATCTGATAGTCTTGATTGCCATAAGTTAGCAATCTTCGTGAATCGATAATCCTTACTTAGTCATTTTCTATAAGAACTTGTGCTAGGGTGAGTGGTATTTATAATTGATACACTTCGTGCACATCAATCTTACATGTGATTAATTGATTAATTGCTAAACTGAGTAGAGCTGATTAAAATAGAAAGACACATCTTTTATTTAAAAACTTAAACTTTCCACAATTATCTTCCCCTACACAACTCACAATATTTTGTCAGCCGTAAATCTTTCAATCTCATTAATTGTAAGAAGCTTGGGATCTTTTAATTTTTTTTAATTTTTATTTCCTTTCATTTAGCTCAAGGTGAAGAATTTTCTCTTTTCTTGAACTATATTGATTTAGTTACGCTTTGTCAAGATCTTGAGTGAATAGTCACGCCTAATAGTATGACAGAGTCACTTATAACACTCAAATACTTTTAGAGTAGGTCCCTAGTAGGAATCCACTATAAGAAATCTGATGGCAGGGACTTGAACACTGGTACACCCACCCACACTTAGGTCACTGGATAATTGGCATTTGGCACCATGTATGCATATGTAAATGTATAGCCCCATACACACGTTAAAGTGTGAAAGAGGCAAACAGAAAACGATAAAAGTCATCACATTGTTGCTCGTAGTCACAAAGAATTGACAAGTGCTATGCTAATTCAAGAGAGTTGTTGAGTCTTCCACCAGGAAGACTTCTGTTTTGGTTTTGGACGACCCAAAAGTCACTTCCTTAGGAATTTTCTTAGTCCTAAGTTCACTGAAGGCAACAAGTATAATATATATGCCTATTTAGCTCCAGACATTTCCTCCTCAGAACAACCAAAATCATCAAACACACACCATCATTAAAAATGGCTACACCATTGGAGTAAGAGCTCTCTCTCTCTCTTGCTCTCTCTCTCTCTCGCTCTCTCTCTCAGCATGTATGGTAGTTTATATATATCATGATTGCATGATTTTTCTTTTTTTAAATGGCTGTTTACTTGTTTCATATATTGTTTTCCATTTAAACTGGTCATTTAAATATATATGTGAGAGATCTGCTTCTGTTTATGAGTAGTCTCTCCTCGTATATATCTCCAAGTTTATGTGAATTTCTGCTCTAGTTTTGGCCATTCTTTAGCTTCAGCCTTTATTTTTGCTGATAAAATTTAATTTGTTCTCTGATATGCAATGATACAGACCTCTTGGCCGTTGACTTGCAGAGTAAATTAGGTTCTTTTAGCCAATTATAAATGATGCCACTTTTGCATATACACACACACATACATATGTAATTTTCTTATATCTGATTCCCTTTTTACTTATTTCTGTAAATTTCAACACTTGTTAGATCTTCTGGACCCAAAAGATTTACAAGCCTGGTATTACTTCTAATATCTAAATGTCCATTTTTCAGATACTATCAATCTTTACCACCTGTGGCCAAGACATATGGCGTCATCTGTATACTGACCTCAGGCGCGTATCATCTTGGACTATACAGCCCATGGAACATAGCGCTATCTTATGAAGACGTGATCAAGCGTTTTCAGGTAAAACTATCTGATATTTATGCTTAGTTTTCAATTAGATGGATAGTTGGTATGCACAAATTCATATAATTGACAAAGGGTTTGCTACTCGTGTGTTTGGTGATGCAGATTTGGAGGCTTATAACAAACTTCTTCTTTATCGGCCCATTTTCATTCACATTTGCATTTCGTCTTCTAATAATGTAAGTTTCTACGATGTTATGCTTTAGTTTTACTTGATTAGAATTTGATAATCCTTCAAACAATGACTATGAACCTTGCAAAACTTTCATTTTACGGATTGGATTGCAAAATATTTAGTAACACACCTCCCATTTACTCTCTTATACATAATAAAGCTTTGAGTCATCGAAATGTGTAGAGCAAGGCAAGGTGTTCAGTTAGAGAGGGGACCCTTTGACAAGAGGACAGCCGACTACGTATGGATGTTCCTCTTTGGATCCTTGTCACTGCTGGTAATGAATGAAAACCACCACTTCCTTTTATTTCAGCTCCTAGTTTGCTTCATTGCACATTACATCCTTTCTCGGTGTAACCAGTAGCTCTTAGGTTTCTTTTGATTGTGTTTCGTAAGCTTTCATTGGTGTAATCTTGTCACACTTGGTTTTTCATACTTGTCAAGCTTGTAACCTATGGTTCCAAGGGTAATATATATTTGTTTTATTTGATCAGGTGATTGCAGCTATTCCATTTTTATGGTCCCCGTTTATGGGAGCTTCCTTGGTTTTCATGATTGTCTATGTTTGGGGCCGGGAGTTCCCAAATGAGCGTCTCAATATACATGGCCTGTTCGAATTGAAGGTATTCTCACCCTTTCCTAACTTCTGTAATCCTAAGAGGAGGGGTGTTTTGACACACCACAGAGATGGGACCTCGTTTTATTCCTTCAATGATTTTGTAGATTTTCGAACAACCAACTCATTTTTTGTTGCATACAGGGTTTCTATCTTCCTTGGTATATGCTTGCGATAGATTTGATCCTCGGAAATCCTTTGAAGCCAGATCTTCTAGGGATGGTTGCAGGACACCTATTTTACTTCTTGACAGTGCTTTATCCTCTTTCCGGTGGAAGAAACATATGCAAAACTCCTCTATGGGTGTATCCTTCCTATAGTTACTACTAAGCTAACAATTAATCAATAATAATAATTAAAGACTTGGAATTTGCTTGACAAATAATGCTATTATTTAAAAAATAAACAGAATCTATGCATGTCCTACACTATTTGGGCACCAAAATCGCCTGTTAAATTTCCTGTTTATAAAGGTTTATGATTTGAACCAACAGCTATGCTTTGCCTAAACATAACCGGGAAGGGGTGACTCTTCATGTATCTCATTCTTTGTATCTCCGCGGTTGAAGAAAATAAGATGGTTTCAAGTATATGATGTTGTTGCCCAAATTGCTCCTGTTATTGAGGGCAATGTTAACTCAAAATTTTATACTATCACTCCTGGTGTTTATTTCATGCTTTCGGTTTCACAACATTGAAGTGAGCTTTATTTTTGAATGTGTAAGAATGATTTTTATTCCTTAATGCCTTAAATAGCCACAAGTTGGTTGCATTCTGGGGTGAAGGAAGCCAATTCAATTCTCCATGGAAGAAAAATCGTTCTGAAGAAGTAGTTTTCAAGGGGAGAAGCTACCGTCTCGATGGGACCAAAACGAGCACTTCAGCTGCACGAGCACAGGCACAAGCAAGCACTTCAGCACCGGCAGAATCAAGCACCCCAGAACAAACCAACCCTGCTGCAGCAGGAGTAGCTTTCAGCGGGAAAAGCCATCGTCTCAACACTCGTTAGCCAATCAACAATGTCTTCTGTGACTAGCTCCAATTTCGGAACTGCTTGAGAAGGTAAACCATTTTCTCCCGGAAAGAAATAAAAGCTGTTCCAAGCACTACAAACCCCTAGTAAAGTGCAAGGTGTTGCTTTGTAGTTAGTTCTTCAATTCATGCATATGATTTATGAGTCCCATGGATTAAGAAAACTTGTGACAAAGCTATATTATTCTCAGTGGTTTCTGTGTTAATCCAAGATCTGGAGTTCATCTCAGAACTCAAATAGTCCATAAAATTAATTGTTAAATTTGTATGCTTCAAAATCCATTTATTCCTTGCTTTTAAAAGAGACAATGATCGCATTTCAGATACCTTACCCTGAGGAAAAAAGAGAGAGAGAGAGAAATTGTGAGTGGTGGTGATCAAATATTAGGTACATAGTTTTATTTTTTATTTTTATAACAGGGGTGTTGGGGATTTCGTCCCGACTAATCCACACGGGATGAGTGCAATGGGACACTCTACATGAATTGGATAAAAATATTAGGTACATAATTATAAAAAGAAAAATGATGAACAAAATTAATTATGTTTTCTATTTTTAAATTTTCTTTTGCTTAGCTAACAACAACTCTCTCACACAAACACCCTTAAACAAATTTGCTCCACCAGGGGCTCAAAATGCTCGAGAGGAAAGGTTATAAACCCTAAACCAAAAACCTAGTAGTAACAGATCTCTGTGCTTTTTTTTATTTTTATTTTATTTTATTAAATCAACTAACTATAAGCTAAAAGCTCTTATTGTAAATTTTCAACCCATAAAACAGATAATTTAAAGCTTTTTGTTCCATTTTACTTAAAACAAAAAATGGGCTGAGTTTTCTTGCAATAATTGTCCTCACTTGACAATGATTTTTCTTAGATAAAACCAGAGACAACGGCTCTTAAAATATATCTTCGTATCCAATGTTTATAGAGACATCTTAGGTTTGTATGTTAGTGTTGTTGTAAACATCAACGTTGTTGTTATGGCATTCCAAGCCTTTCATCGCCGGCCTTGTCCTTTGTAGCCGTGTAATGTCAATATTAAATATTAGTAGTCCCCTACCAAGGAAAAGTATTCAATACTATTTTTACTTTTTCTTTTTTAATTAAAATCTATTCAAACATCACCCTTTGTGATCATGTAAGTCACACTATTCTAAATTACACTGAACCAAGTTTGAAATGACAAAAATTTCCTTTCTTTGATCCTTGACAGTTGATACATTGCACGGTTAGTTTTGCAATCAAGATCTAATATATATATATATATATATATATATATATATGTATGTATGTATATTTTCTAGTTGATACTTACACACTCTTTTTAAAGAATTATTTGCATTTACACACTCTTTTTAAAGAATTATTTGCCCCTAGTAGGATTCGACACCTGATATTTTATGAGGGGGCTAAGTCTTTTCTAACCCATTGGAGGTTAAGAACTAATGATATTATGAGAGAGACTAAAACATTGTTTCTATTGTTTAGCAGTTGGCTAAAATTTTAGAAAGAGTACTCCTACTTGCCACAATTTGATTACTCAAAAGAGTTTTTTGTGGGACTCATCAAATGATGGGATCCACAAGTACCATATGAGTAGTCGGAGAGATGATATTTAATGCGTCCAGTGCACTGTGCATCGGGCAATTACAGCCGTTCATATCCACGCATATTGTGCACGCAAATGACTGTAATCGGACACATTGAATATATTTTTATCATTGAATATATTCTCTAAAAAAATTCTATTCAAACATCATTGACCTGTTAATCATGTCCTTTGTGATCATGTAATTGACACTATTCTAAATTACACTTAACCAAGTTTGAAATGACAGAAAGTTCCTTTCTTTGATACTTGACACATTGCACGGTTAGTCTTGTAAATATGTTTTTTTTTTTCTAGTTGATACTCATGCATCCTTTTTATGAAATTATTTGCACTTAATAAGATTCGATACCTATATTTTATGAGGGGGCTAAGTCTTCTCTAACCCATTGGAGGTTAAAATCTAATGATATTATGAGAGAGACTAAAATATTCTTTCTATTGTTTAGCACTGGGCTAAAATTTTAGAAAGAGTACTCCTATTTGCCACAATTTGATTGCTCAAGTGAGTTTCTGTGGGACTCATCAAATGATGGAACCCACAACTACCATGTGAGCAGTCGGAGAGAAGATATTCAATGTATCCGATGCACCGTGCATTAGGCCATCAGAGCCGTCCATATCCACGCGTGTTGTACATGCAAACGGTTGTGATGTGTACAGTGTATGGGGCACACTGAATATCTTTTCATAGTCCAACTTGTCACATGTATGTTTTACAGTAACCTTCTCTAAAAAAACAGAAAGAGGTACTTTTTTTTGTGGTAACTTCATCAAAGCAAGACAAGAGGATAACAGTAAAGCCCACTAAGAAAAACGAAACTCTTTGTTACACCCGCGTGCAGCCCAACAACCTATGAACCGTTGGCCTTTTGCTTGCCAAGGAAAATCAAGCGCCTCCTTTCTTAGAATCATGGAGCAATGCTAGATCTTTGTCGGAACTCGAAAAATGGTCAATATTAAATTTTTTAAAAGAAATCTTACACCCTCAACATTTAAATTGAATATAATTTTACAATCAACATTTAAGTATTTGTATTTTTAACATTCAAAAAAAAAAAAAAAAACAAAAGGCTTTGTATTTGTTATATGGTTCAAGAAGTATTTTTACCTTATTATTTGTCAGTGTTTATGTTTGCCTTTCTAAAGCAAATTTTTTGCTCCACCACTGTAGTGAAATCTCTTTTAGTATGTGTAGGGGTGACAAATGGGAAGATTGGGCTGGGTTTGGGTTGAGTTGAAAATGGGCAGATCAAATGGGTCCAGACCCATATTCAACTCGTTCAAAATAGGTTAAAAATGGGCCCGTCAAAAATATATAAGATCAACCCGTTATGACCTGTAGACCCATTAATTATTATTTTTTAAATTTTTTTAAAATTATTTTATTTTTTATTTTTTAAATTTTCAATTATTTTTTAATTATTTTTAATTATTAATTTTTTTCAATTATTTTTCAATTTTTATAATTTTTTAATTTATTTTTGGGAAGGTTTTAAAACTTTATTTAATAAACAAATATAAAAACAATCTCAAACTCAGCAATATTTATCAACTCGTTTTAGAGAAAGAGAAGAAATTTCTGTAGAGAAAGAATTGATGAGAGACAAATTTATAGAGAGGGGATCATGAGTGAGAGAATTTTAGAGAGAGAGAAATGAGTTGAGTACAATATAGAATAAATGTATGTTGTGTGTTTATTATATAATGGGTGAAATATGGGTTGAATATATGCATTCATATTCAACCTATCTTGACCCTCAAATTAAGTGGTTAAAAATTACCCAACTCATTTTTGACCCATTTTAAATATGGTTCACCCCAAACCATTAAAAAGCGGGCGAATATGAGTGGGTTGATGGGTTGTGACCCATTTTGTCACCCCTAAGTATGTGTAAGTATAAAAAAACTGTACTCCACACCTAAGCTCAAGAAAATTGCAAGGAATTCAAGGAAGAGAATCTTTTAACTCAATTAACTAAGCTCTCAAATTACCGAAAAATTAACTAAGCTCTCTCTTTATATTCGGATAATTAGATGCCTTCTATGGTCATCCTTTATGTATGCATCTTGTAATAGTCATTGCTATTTATTCTCCTAAATCCGCTCCTCGTTTTGAATTCGCTGCTGCTGCTGATTTAGTGGCCTAAATTGTGCCATTCATAACTTCTAATATTTGATTTGAATGGTCTACCAAAGAAAAAAAAAGGGCTTTTACGAGGGACTAAAAACTCCATGCAAAGATATCATTACTTTTTTACGAGAAACAAGAAAACTCGTAGAAGAGAAAAATATTCGAAGTTACCTTGTGTAATAACTTTATTTACGAGATGCATATTCCCTTGTTAATAATTCATTTACGAGATGCATATTCACGAGAAGCTTACGCGGGCCATAGAAAAGTTTTCTACATTTTTTTTTAACGAGGTTTCAAGCCCCCATAGATAGCATATTTATTTATAAAAAAAAAAATAAATAAAAGCACCATCAAATACAACCTAATTATTTTACACATAACCTGTATTGCAACAGTTTCAATTAAACACTATAGAATACTAACAATTGCTACTTCGTCTAAAAAAAAAAAGTGTCATTTTTGGGAAACCGTGACAGTTCAATTTGTAAGAGTCACGGTTCCCCAAAAGTAACACATTTTTATGGGACGGAGGGAGTATCACTTAATACCAATAACCATTCATTGTATTACAGTGAAATGCATCATTAAATATATCAAAAGACTAAATACATTTTCACAATTCAACAATAATATCAATTTCCGAGTGTCTCAATAATTCATTCGCAATCAGTGCCTTCATTAAGGGAACAATATCATCCAACATCAATTGTGATGGTGCTTTTTTACCTTGTTTAAAACAATCTCTAGTTTCTACAAAAAAAAAAAAAAATAATAAAAAAATAAAAAAAATGAAGAGAAGAGAAGAAGAAGAAGAAGAAGAAGTATGAAATTATGATAATTGCATTAAGATTTGAAAAAAAGATATTGTAAAAAAATAAAAAAATAAAAAATAACAACCAGATTTTCTAAATGCCAAAGGAAGGTAAATATGTAATAAAATGCCAAACATAGCCTAGAAATCAATGAAAATTAGAACAATAATGTAAGCGCCAGATTGACTATGACAAAAATTAGTACAAAGAGAACTAATAAAAGACAATAAAAATAAAAAAAAGTTCTTCTAATTGAATCAGAAAAGGGTAAAAAGTGAATTTTTACCTTTTACAGATCTTAGGCCAAACAAATAAATCACTAAGAAATTCATATATTAACATCGGAATAATAACCTACCACATGCATCAAGAAATTTGTTAAATCTGAAATTTTCTTATTTTCAATTAGAAAAAGCTTTTGCACAAAAATTTTCAAGTGTTTAAATTGCAATTGGTGGACGATATACAACCATTTAGTAAGTGAAGGCTTATATTCCTGTCTTTAACGGCTTCCTCTATTTATACATTCAGACTCATATTCTTCCAATTTTAAGTTGATAAAGCTAACAAAAATTAGCTCCTTTATCAGCCTTTCTTCAGTAAAAAATCACCGACATGCAAAAATAAGAGAGAATCCAATATTTAGCTTCAACTCACTTCTGACTTGTGTCGACCATGGGTTCTTCTTA